TGATATCAGATATGACTTCATTATTCAAACAGTTTCTGAAAGTGAAAGTGAAAGTAAATTAGTGATGACAGTGAAAAACTATCCAAAATAAAAGTATGCTATTCATGGTGGATAATGTGTTTTAGTTGTGAATATGCTATGGGAATTACAGGCAAGGATAGAAACGACAACTCGTAAAATACAAGGACACTGATATGGCTACTTTTGCTGTAAATTGAAAGTAAATCAGTCTTTGCCCACTCAGCTGGGATCAGTGAATTTTAGAGCTATGAATTCTATAATGATATGAATGAGTGAGCTGCCAATTAAATAGAAATGCAATGGATTCAGTGTCAGTCTTATTGTTTAAAAACAAACAAAAAATGCTAAAATTTTGTATAATTTACATTCACGACATTGAAACAAATTATTTGGATGTATTTTTTTGTTAAAATTCCTAACAAACTATTCTGTCATTACCTTTTCAAATCCGACTTGGCCAAGTTCTTATAAATAATTTTGATAAATAGAAAGACATTTTAATATTTCATTTTAACAAAAGTTTGAATTTGGTTTTTTCTTCTAATTGCACAGCTTCCATTACAAATGAATGTTCATGAGTAGCATGCAAGATTTCCAACAAAATTACATTTGCAGCAATATGCTGATCCAGTACATTTCTGTGCAAAATGTTCCAACTTAAATTTCATAATAATTATAAAATAACAAATAAAAGCGGGTGCTGGATATACTCAATGAAACAGAAATTTAAAAACAAAAAATACCAAAAATGGAATCTAGAGGGTAACATACAGATTTCAACCAAAGACCGGTGTCCATATATTTACTTTTTGTCAAGCTACAGGGATCTGTCCAGTTTCAATTGTTGTTTTGAAGTTCTGTATTTTTATCATGCTGGTCTTTAATTAAAGTTGTAATTGTTTATTGTGTAGTTTCCTCATTTTATACAAGCAATCAATTGTATTTTTATGTAACTATTTAGCGGTAGTGCCTTATTCCTTTTGGTCATTTTTAGAAGCCTTTGTTCAATTATGAAGTAAAATATTTTGAGGTTTTCAATATAAATTTACTCTTAGATCTTTTACAATGATTAAGATCAATCCACTTTACAAATTAGTAGTTTCAAATTGGAGAATTTTGATTTTGAATACAAAATTTTTTTTTTCATTTGTATAATAGAGCTTTCGAAGAGGGCTTTTAGTACTTTGATTATTGTTTTCTGTATAATTTCGCTTTGAATAAAAAGAAACAGTAGTCAAAGAAATAAATCACTTGTTTTGATAATAATTGCACCCTAAATTGTTGGTTTGAGTTGAGAAAATGATTTAATTACATGAAAAATTGTATAAAAATACTATTAAGCTGTACAGTGATATATATACTACATATATTTCTAAATTGGTAGATTTTTTTTTTTTTTTTTTACATTTCTTCATTGTAGTTCATTTTGATATATTTATCTTTTAATTACAACTTCACCTTTTTGATATTTTAGCATTTCTTCTGGTCCTAATTTGAGTGAAATAGCCAATTCTTCAAACACCAGTTTTATAAATAAAGAAGCCTGACTAAAAAAAATTGAATATATATTTATTATTTTGTCTTTGTATTTCCTTAATAATGGTTAATAACATGAATTGGTATAAAAAGATATTTATCCTGACCATAACTGATTATTTGTTGAATAAAAATGCTTAAAAAAAATCTTAAATTTGACAATTTTCCAGTTAAAAAGTTTGAAAAATAGATGGCGCTGCAAAACTCGACTATCCGATAAAGTTTAAGCAAAATATTTTGCAAGTGAAACTGGCATGGCCAAAGTGTTGTGTGTACCAAATTTCATGAGATTCTGTGAGATTCACTCACGGACACTTGTGCATGGTTTTCTGTGAGACAAGCTCTTAAGGCACCAACTTTAATAGTGAGTAAAGGTTAATGTATACCTTTGGTAGTATTTCATTCATCTGTATGTGTGCATACATGAACTATGACATTTGAAATCTTACTATCAATCAGTATACATACTTGTGTTTAAAAAAGTTTCTATTTGTAAATATATGAATATATTTATTAAGACAAAATATAAACCAATAAAGATTAGGTCAGTCATATTGTTTACTAATTAGACAAATATTATGCAATCATCAAAACAGTCGTCCATTTGAAACAGAGTATTCTCCGACTAAGTGTAGTTGCACAATAGAACTGCCAGATTTGGCTTTGGTCATTATTTGTTACCTTTTATCCAAAATTGATTTTGGTGTTGAATTTTACAGTTTCACAATTCAAACGAGGTTATGTAATGGGAAATCAGTTGAACGTACATGTACTGTTGTAAATTTTTGGGAAAGGTTTTAATATCCATTCAAGCTGCATTTGTACTAGCGTGTATTTCTTTTCGCGAAATTCGTGAAAATAAATACACCACAAAAAAGTATATCGGTGTGAACCAAGGCTCCGTGTTGAAGGCCATACTTTGACTTATAATTAATTGTTTACTTTTTGCACTTTGTGAACTAGACGGAGAGTTGTCTCACTGGCACTCATACCACATCTTCTTATTGCTATATACAGTAGTTTACAATTTCTCGATTACGTAAAAAAACGTTAGATACAGATATAAGGGTAAACAAAATGAAAACAACACTGTACAAACCTCATGTGTCCGAATCGCACATCAGGACCCACAGACAAGAGAAACGCCCAAAGTCAAAAACCCGATAGCGGGATGCATAAATACTGATTAACGTCAAAAATCGTACGACCAAAAGAAATATTATAATAGAACAAAAATAAAAGGGAAAACTGTAAAATGAATAAAAAGATACACAACTTTATACCCGAATGAAGTTAGTATATCATTGTTGCTAAGGGAGGAAAATTTACAAAATTCAAAATTAAAATCCTCTCGTTTGTCATAGATTCTTGTACTGTGATGACCGCTTTTGTAAAAATCGAGATGAATGTCTAGAAATGAAGCAGAGGAAGATGTTTCTGTTGTTTCTATAATTTCTAATTCAGGAGGATATATTGAAATAATTGATATAATAGGACCCAATCAGAAAAGTTTCGATTATTAATGGAAAGAACATCATCAATATACCTGTATGTGAAATCAAATGATCTAGCTTCTTTGGTGTTCTTGTTTTTTACAAGTGTCTGAAGGAACTCCGACTCATATGAAAATAAGAAAAGGTCGACCAGGAATGGTGAACTGATAATTTAATATTTATTAATTGTGACACACGGTGAAGTTTTAAAAATTGTGACTCAAGGATAAGCCTTTTATGAGAAGACTTTTTTTGCAGCTAAATAGCTTCCAAAGATTTTTATGGCAGAACCTATCCGATCAATCTTAAAATTGTAAAATATGTTAAAGATAAATCAGCTTTAGCATCCGTTGGAAAATTTAAGATACATTAAATTCTCTCTCGCCTGCTCGTCCGAATTAAAATCATTTCTGTACTAAATTCCTGTGAGCACCTTCGATTAACTGACAGCCCAACAATTTCTTTATATAATTTAACGGAACCCCACCCTTTAAACCACCAAAGGATTTCACGTGCATATATAACCAATATATCTAAATCCAAAATAACAATAACCCGTTTTACAACTTCTCTAACAAGTTTGAATATATATAGCTATCTTTAACACAAGGAAATTCCTATAGTCAAACGATAAGAAATATATGTAAATAAATTATATAAAAATAAAAAGATGAGGTATTATTGTCATTAAGACAATTCTCCATTAGAGACTAAGTGACATAGAAGTGCATTTCATATAAAAAGTTAATTTAAAATTTCATTATTTATGATTTTATTCGTAAAATTGAGCAATGTTTTGGCAAATTTAAGATAAAAACAATTTTTCAAAAACACTGTTTGATCGCCAAAAGGATAAATAAGTAATAGCATTGGTGTTTATCGTCCATTGGTAAATGTGAAATGTATTTTGTACAACAGCGATACGCTGAACCATATTTTTAATGTGCTCGTGTATGCTAGTGTGTAGAACCTACTCCTAGTTTTGGACCACTAGAGATCACCACATTTTGGTAAATAGGTAGTGCTTTTATCGTTAGTTTCTATGTAATGCTTTTAGACGATTGTTTGTCTTTTTGGCCATGGGATTGGCTGTTTTTCTTCAACTTGTGATTTTAATTTGGTAGCTTATGTCTTATCTTTACCAGGAACAGTCAACAGGAAGTCATAATACCCTACCTGAACACATTATTTGAACCGACACCTGACCAATATTTGCTCATACTACTTTTTCGGAGAAGCAGTAAATACTAATTTTAGGGTTTTGGTTTCAACTTTGATCTATCGTACTCGAGATGAGCACGATCTGATGAGAAAACTAATGTGATTTCCAATAAGAGCTTGATAAGATAATAACAGTGAATTCCTTGATTTTCCAAACAGGATTACAGGAATCACAAAAATACTGGTCACAACCGCTGAACCACATCAACAATTGACAGCCGACTCATCAAAAAAAAGGAAAAAAAACAGACGTTATATCAAAATCCAACATCAACGAATAACACATAATCCAGATTATCTGACTTGGTTTTGTAAAAAAATGTGAGGGAATAAATGTTTAACGTGCATGAAAAACCTCTAATTTTTATATCAAGACAATATGTCGTAAAAAAAAAAACAAAAAAAAACAAAAAAAACAAAAATGCAGCTACCAACAAGATGACTACTAACTTGAACGGAGATCAATCTGTACATAATTTGGAAAGCCAGGTCAAATTGTTCTCGCTATTAGTACTACAGGACGCTAGCTAAAAGAAGGGAGAAAAGACCATATGAGCAATTTAAATTTAATAGTCGATTAAAAGCAGACAACACATGGCCAAAAAGGTAACGTAACTACAGTTGTTGGTTTGGATGCTGCCGCTAGAGAAATCAAAATTCCATGAAGGAATTTACCACTCGTCATACTATTATCTACTTATTTATATTTTTTGTATCTTATATTTGCAGGTTTCACCTGTTTCATCAAGCGATAAATTACAGTGTGAATGTGATCATCTTACGGATTTTGCTGGAGGACTTTTCGTATTACCTAATATTGTGGATCCATTTCAAGATGCCTTACTATTTCTGACGTTCTTTGAGAACCCAGTTGTAGTTACCGTAGTGATATTGGTCTGGTTGATATATTTTGTGGGTCTTTACAGGGCAAGACAAGCAGATCGTAGGGATTCATATTTTGTAAATATAATTAGCATTAAAGTATAACAACTGAAAATAACACATCCGGATCGCTGTTATGGATTTACTTTCATCAGGAACGCTCAAAATCATGAACAATAAGAACAAAAATGAATGACCTATTAGGTATAGCCATAACCAACTTTTGTCAACATTGACTGAGGGAGTTGAAGCCTTAGTTTCTCAATAGTATTAGAACATATTTCACATAAAATTTTAAGAAATGCCTGTCATGAATTGTATCAGTGGCAAAGCATAGACTACTGGGCACTTGATGCCATCGTGGACTAACACTCCACAGAAATTTGTTAAGAAGTGTGCCCGATAAAGGCTATCTATAAACACGTGGTGTGCATTCATTGTTCGGTATCGGTAATAGCTATCAGATCAGAAGTGATATCAATAGATAAATAAGAACACTAAAAATTATGCAGCCAATGTAATCTCGCAGTACGCAGTTTAGAAACAAGACGTGACATGATTGACAATCACACACTAATCCACCTACTGGAGACCAAAAGACAAAGATGGTTCACCATACGTCCTTCAACAATGATCAAAACCAATACTGTAAGCTATACAAGACAACATTTAAAAATGATTCAAAAGGGTAAACCAAATGGCTTGATGTAAGACAGTAAACGAAAAAAAATGTATGCAAGATAGCAACAAATCGGATTCACTGAATTACAGACCTCTGACTTAATACAGACACATAAAAAATTACATGAAGAAGTCAGTTTAACAAAGTTAAAAGTTTAATGAAGGTCTTAAACACAGAATTATACAATAGTGTTCATAATATCTAAACTCCGTATACAATTTAATATTGTAAGGATATTTTTAAAACATTTGAAAGACTGTTGATTAGACAGAGTCTTTATCCAACAATTCTGTATGGGACGCGTCAAGAACATCATAGCAACCTCACTTCGGAATGTATCATCGATAATAATTTTATGAAGTACAAATTTAATTTATATATGTTGGATTAGGTTTGTATCAAGCTTTAAAACGGCATGGTTATTTAAATGTCATGCTCTTTCATTCTGAAATCTTGAAATTAAATTTTAAGTTCAATGACGATTTAATAGTTATATATGATTTATAAAGGCAATTTAAGGAACCAGGGCATGTTTTTCATGATATATTTCTAGTGTTTTACATAATATATTTTCTGTAGGATGGTATAGTGACACCTTTTCCAAGTGATCCCTCAGACCCGTTTAAGTATGTCATGTGCATTGTCACTGGATGGCGGTATGAAGCTAGAACTACAGCAAATGTTTCATGCTACATAAAAGGCAACACTGGACAAAGTGCAAGGCATTGTTTAACTAGGACCTCATCACCGCAGGTTTTGTTTACATCCGGTGGTGAAGACTGGTTTCTAATTACTTCTTCCTACGATATAGGAGACATGGTGAATGTAATTATTTGGCACGACAACAGTGGTTCCTCGCCATCATGGTTTGTACGCATATATATATAGTTTATTTCGAACTATGTCGATTCTGTTCGAAATTTTATTCTGATTTATTATCATATGTTATTTTATGTATTATTAAAAAAGAGTACATTTGATTAAAAAGATTGAACAGAATATGATTTAAAATGGGACTACAAGCCAAAAATGAGAGAAATAGACAGGAAAATGACATAGCAAGTTCATCGACAATAGCCCAATCTGTTTTAAAATCTAAAATGAGGCATCTAAAATATCAATAAAATATTAACGATTTGATTTTAAGCAGTTACAAATCAATTTATCTAGGATAAATAAAAAGATGGAGCATAGAATTACGTCAATACACAGCTACATGTACTTCAGTACAAGCAATCGTAATGAACATCTGTTCAGATGCACATAAACTTTACAGTTTTAAAGATGGATATAAAACGAAATTGAACATAACGCTATATAAATTTCGTACGTCTGTTAAGAGTGATATAAACTGAATACGTCTGTAATGATTTATGTAGGGGCATTTGTAAAAATATATTTTCTGTTGATGTACATCTTAACAGATGGACGGTTTATATACTTTATCGTATAAATATACAGTTAGATATCAACAGGTGTAAATTTTATACATATAGAAAGTTAACAGATGTACATTTTATATGTATCTTACCGGTACAAGTTTATATTATTCTATACAGATGTACAGTTTATATTTATCTTACCAGTACAGAGTTTATATCATTTCCTACAGATGTACAGTTTACATATATCTTATCGGTACAGAGTTTATATCATTCTCTATTATATCATATTAGTCTTAAGTTTTTTATGTTGTGTTTTGTGTACTATTGTTTGTTGATCGTTTTCATTTTTAGCCATGGCGTTGTCAGTTTATTTTCGACTTGTGAGTTTGAATGTCCCTTTGGTATATTTCGCCTCTCTTCTACAGATACACAGTTTATATATATCTTGCCGGTACAGATTTTATGTCATTCTCTACCGAAGTACAGTTTATAAATATCTTACCGGTAAAAGTATATATCAAAGTCTACAGATGTACAATGTATATATGTCTTTCCTCTTATGTCTGTTTGTTTTGTTCACACATTGTTGTCAATATAATGGTATTGTATGCGACTGTCATACAAGTGAGAGGTTTAGCTAGCTATAAAACCAGGTTTAATCCACCATTTTCTGCATAAAGAAATGCCTGTACCAAGTCGGGAATATGACAGTTGTTTTCCGTTCGTTTGATGTGTTTGAGCTTTTGATTTTGCCATTTGATAAGGAACTTTCTGATTCGAATTTTCCTTGAAGTTCGGTGTTTTTATTATTTTACTTTTTACTGGTACAAATTTATATCATCCTCTACATATGTACATATTAGATCCATTTTTCCAAATATACAGTGTACATGCGTCTTTATAAGTGTTCACCAAGATTACTAGCACTAAAGTTTCTGTGAATCTTGTAAATATGATGGATTTCGTCATAGACATGATGCAAAGATCCAACAAGAGGTTTACAAGTATAACAATACAGCAAACATGTTAAACCAGTTGAAAACAAAACATGTAAAACTTACTCAAAAACGAATAAAAAGCATATCTGCAGACAAAAAAAAAAACAGCACAAAAATATTCAAAATTAAAAAACCAAGTTATTTGAACAATTGAAACACGTTTGATCAATTATAATACTTTCGGTATTTTTGTTATTTTACTTTTTATGAATAATGCATGTTTATCATATCATTGGACGAGTTTAGTTTGGAACTAATAATACAAATCCACGGAAACATCACCTTGCGAAATTTAAAATGTATGTCTCTTCATACGACAAAGGATAAAAAAGGGAATATATTCTTTAATTGAATAAGGTATTGAATAAAGGAGAATTTTGTACACGCCAAGTTAAACAGCCTGAAAACATCCGATAACTTACAACGAGGTCGTCAACATACAATCTTAAAGGACAAAAGTGAAGGTCCGGTAAGGGCTAATTTCGCCCTAAAATTCGAAGTACATCTGATGAATGATTTTTGACATTTTTTAAACACTTAAGTGTCTACTTCAGTCGATTCAATTAGTTTATGTTAAAGATTTGAACTGATTTGGTAATTAATAACGCTCAAATTCAAGCTTAAATATGAACGTCACTTTTCAGATAGTTTTGTCTAAAATAGAAGTGGCCGTATTCGTTATCAGTCTCCAGCATTTATATATGTTATGTATTGTCATCAAATAAAACATAGATTTTAATATTAAGACTGAACAAAAGTGCGACCACTTCCGTTGTAGACAAAGCCCGTTTTAAAATTAGCAAACAGATGCTAATGTTGTGAAGATTTCAGTATTTTTGCATGAAATAATGAGGCTAGTACCTGATGCATGTCCATTGCATTGTAAAAAACAGTCCATATTTATGAAACAAAAGTATTCAACTTTCCAATAAATAGCTAAAAGTTAATATTTTCAACAACTTTGTAAAATGCTATATTTTGGGGCCAAAAGGGGGTCTTACCTGGCCTACTCCTTTACCAAATAGCAAGCTTTCAATTGTCGTAAGTCTGAACAATGAATTAAAAAGTAAAAGAATACTGAACAACTGCTATCAACATCAAATTTCTAAGGACAAAGGCATTTACAAGCACACTTTTAGATCTGTGTATGATGGGAATCGAATTAATCAATTTTTTTGGCTTCTTAAAAAGATTTTGGTGAAATATTGTTTTTATTTTTAAAATTGAGCTGTCTTCCTTCTTTGCATTGGAGTTTTTATAACCCCATGTTATCGTCCTATATTTATTGTAAACAAAAGTCATCTATTATTCAAGTGACTGATTTGACGAGGCACATGTGGCGTCGTTTTATAAAAAAAAAAATGTGGTATAATTTCGTATGAGACAACTGAAGGACATGGATGTATGCAATGGGTTTTTCAAGTACTCATTCGATAGTGTTTGTTATCTTAATCAGTTCAATAAAAAGTATTGATATGTGTGTAATAGATTATCGATAAAAAGATCATTTTTACATGGAGTAAGACAATTTGTTTATTTTGTTGTAGGTTTCTTTCGAGAATAATAATACAAGACTTGCAAACTAAGAAAGTATTTACTTTCTACTACGATAATTGGCTAGGAATGCAAAGTGGTACTGCCAAAGTTTGTTTGTCAATCAAGTCAGGTTACGAATTAAAGCAACAATTTTTCCTTAGAACGAGTCAAGATTTACGTAGAGGGCATTTGTGGATCAGTATAATTTCAAAACCACCATGTAGTGATTTTACGAGGGCTCAAAGATTATCATGCGCATTATCTTTATTGTTTTGTACAATGTTGTCCTGTCTAATGTTTCATGGAATTCCTACTGACGAAACGATTAGTTCTGATGTAGCCAGTATTCAATTTGAATTTTCTCTGAAAGACTTTATCATTGGTTTGGAAAGTAGTATAATAATGTTTCCTATAAACTTTGCAATCATTGAACTTTTTGTTCGATCGAAAACAAAACAGCTACATAAAGAACGATATATGGAAATTGATGTAAACTGTCCAAAGGCAAGTGATGAAAAAGGATCAGATAAAAGAGAAAGTGAAACTGTGGCTGTAAAACGATGGATGTAAGTTAACTAATATCATTATCTGTTTCTTTTATTTCCCTTGTGTGAAGAGCTCAGCCTATTTGTAAAGCTAGATTAATTAAACCTAAAGCATAACCACGCTCATATGGACATTATATACTTAATAGATGTACTCGACTTTACCAATATGTAGTCGAACAAAGTTTGAATGCAAGTCGGTTATTTTAGTTCTTGTGCATCATAAACTCAATTTGTTTGTTTGCCTCTGCTAGTGGACTGATAGTCCCCGAGGGCATCACCAGCCTAGTAGCCAGTACGTCGGTACTGGCATGAAAATACGGATTCTGTGTTATTACAATTTGCTATTACAAAATTTTGGAAATTATTGAAAATTAAGGAATGTATCTCCCTCATGCAAAGCTCTTATTCCTTTTCCGGCTTTGGCTATACTTTTTTGTCCTTTTTGGTTTATAGCTCTTCATCTTTTTAATAAGCTTTTGATTTTCAAATATTTTGGCCTCGAGCATCATCGAAGAGACATTGATTTTCGAAATGCGCATCTGGTGCAGAAAAATTGGTACCGTTTATGTTATTTGATCATATTGATTATTTCTAATTTTTCAAAAATGTCTATATGCGATTTTCCTCTTAACATCGTATCAATGCAATCAGAGGCGAATCGTTGAAGGACTAAATACACTAGTATCCTTCCTGCTAACACGTGATATAAACTCTGCAATAAGACTGTTATGAAAGGATCGTCGTCAATCAACATCGTTAAAGGTCAAATGAATTTCCAAAATAGATAGCACGGAAAATAAAATGTCAGTTGGTGAAACATATCGCAGTCAGATTGAATGGAAACCACGTTGAACGGCGATATAATAGAAAACAAATTCATATAACGCACATTATATCATTGGCTAGCTATTAAATAGGCAGCATGCGTGTATTCAAATTAGTCCGTATTGCTTTCCTTTTGATAGTTCAAATGTTTATCGTAAAAAGAGATTTTCCCTGGAATTTGTCTATTTAGTATAAAAATTGATTATGAACTCATCATAAATATCATAATTAAATTTTGTACGCGAGGTTCGCGTGCCATCTACCAAAGCCTTATCACATCAATAACTATGTGTTTTCTTTTTTGTCAACCTTCTCTGGTACCTTTTTTCCACGGCTATTGACCGGAAGTGGAATTTTGTATCTTAAGTAGGTTTATGTTGGTTATGGAATGTTGACAAGAACTTGGAATAATACAATAAGATATTTATTTGCTGATCGCAAGATTAAATCTGTCAGATGCTGTTTTCGTAGTTAATAGAAATATAATAATAGGTATTCACCTATGGCACAAAATCAGTACTGTTATCGTAGTTAATAGAAATGTAATAGGTATTCACCTATGGCACAAAATCAGTACTTGCGCTGCAAAAAACACACAAAAAGCAATGACACTGGGCTTTTATTGCTGTTCTATATCTCAAAGTTTATAAAATATCGCAGAGCAAAAACGTTAAACGCCTTGTTACTTACTTACATTGAAATCTGTCGAAATACTTTTTCAAAACTTTCCGTTTTGAGTTTTCCTTAGAGTTCCGTATTTTTGTTATTTCACTTTTTTCTCATAACTAGTTAAAAGAAATGCCTCTTATAAACAAAATGCTTTGAGATCTTTTCATATCAGTATTTTAAGGAAATCTGTAAATTGATATAAATACATATTTTTTATCAAAACTTATTATTTCCAGGTTTCCATGGTGGGTTATATATATTGCATGGACCACAACTATTTTGACATCTTTGACTTCATCATATTTTGTTATGCTGTACGGATTAAAATATGGCTACTATGAAAGTTTGAATTGGCTGGTGTCTTTTCTTACAGCATTTGTTGATGATGTCTTTTTAATGGAACCTATGAGTGTTGTGTTTTTTGCCATGTTGTTTACATTTATATTGAAACGGGAAGTCAAAATTGATTCTGCTCCAGCCTTGATTGTACACAAACCAGAAAGTAAGTTTGGTAATTTTAAGTACAAATTTTAGTTTAATTACTAGTGTATTAGTGTAAACAATATTTTATTTTAGAAAATAATAACGTAAACATTACAAAATGACAATTTTATTGGGATTGGAAAACAAGTGAATTTTCACTTTTACAAATTCCTCTCCCATGATTAAATCAGTTTCTGCACTTTCATCTTTGATTAGTGATTAGATACTTAAGGATGTTTGCTACTCTGTTTCAAAATAACAAGCTTTTTAAAAGACTGTTATAAATTGATAGTATATAAATAAAGGGACTAAAAAAGCAGAAAAAAATTAAGGGTCCGTGTGCTTGTTTTCGAGATATAAGCCATTGAAATATTGGCGAGAAATAATTCTCTCTAGACTTTTCATACATTTAACATTGACACCCTTTTTCTTTTAAAAAATAATGAAAAAATAACAAGGATTTTATAGCATTTTCAAATATGGCTTTTTAAACTATATGGAATAAGATTATGAAAAGAAAAATAGGGGTTAGCGGGCAAAATTTTTATTGGCACTAACATGGATAAAACTAGAGGATTCCGAATATCTGAAAAAAAGACAAAAAACAAGAGTAGCGAACATCCTTAACATATAGTTATATCATAAAAAAGATACAGATATAGTTTGAGTTATGTTTTGGTTGGTGTGATCCTTTGACATAGAAAACTGCTGCGAAATTTAATGCATAAACCTCTGATTAAAATGATAATATATGTGGATTAAAGTGTTACATGTGTTACAAATGAAGTTTGAGTTTCGTTTTGTTGTGTGATTTTCATCGGAGTTGTTGTCAATGGGCATTCAAAGTAGGAAACATTGTAACTATAATACCCTGAAATGCTTGTTTTGTCTGTGTTATAATTAACCAAAAGCAAAAAAAAAAAAAAACTTCAAGAAATGTGAGGTGGATCGGAAATATAAAGAAGTTTTCAACTGTTGATTTTTATCTCAGAAGATCAGGTATGACACCGTTACTTAGGAAAACAACTAAAAAGTGTTGGGGATTTCGGACTAAACGAGACAATGTTTGTGACAGGGTAGGGATTTTCTGCTCTGCACACATTATCAGCCAAACGATTCCTAAGTTACAGCAAGACCAAGAAGCCATGATCATTCTCAAATGTAAAAGATTTGTACGTCTGAAATTTATGACGGAATAGATATGTTGAAACTATTACGAATAACCAATTTATAACGGCGATCGTTGTATATGTTGAGAGATGTTTTAAGTGATTTGAAGCAAATGACCCGAAAGGTCAAGTGAGTTTTTCTCATCAATTGGCGTAGTTAGCCCGTAAACTTTTACAAACATCTTCTCCTCTGATAATGAATTGCCAATTAAAACTAAAGTTGGCCACAATCATATTTAAGGTATCCAGTTTAAAAATGTGTACGATAGTCTACAACCATCATGGCAGACTTGGCAACTTTTGTCTATTATTTGGTAACCGCTATAGTGATAAAATCTGACAAGCACATATTTTAATGTTGAGAGTGTTGAGATCATCCAAATGTTTATTTACATAAAAACTGTAAGAAGACTACATATAATAGTTCTTGACCATAAAAGAAACTTTTGATAGCAAAATAATCGCAAGACAAGATCAACAAATAAGTCAAATTGCCGAAATCATCAGACGACTCTTCATATGAGTTATTGTCCTTATACGGGGATATTTCAAAGGATTTATAAGGGTGGAATCAGAAAAAATAAAGATTTTAATGTATTGTTGCATATATTTTTTATTTTTTTGGTTAAGATGTAGGATAATGATAAAAATGTCAAAACAACAAGTTCAATACCAGCTAACTTGCTTCCAAATTTCATTAGAATATCTGTAACCAGCAAAAAGTTATATATTCCTAAAACATGCCAAATTTGTCAGGAGTGTGACGCCTTTAGCGTTACATTAAAAAACTAAATCTCAGTGTGTTGTAAGAATTGTAATAATGAATGCATTCATAATTATTCTTCGATACAAGATTTTGTTGATTTTAGATTTGTGTTATCATTTCGCAAATATCATAAAGATGCATTGTGTAAAAGAATGTGCCAAAAGTTAATATAGGCAAGGTTTGATAATTTCTAAATTTAAGTGCTATGGTCTTTCTTAAAGAAATATTTTTGTGTAAAATTGGTTAGTAGTTAATGTATACATGTATTAGTAATCCATTAAGAGCTACATTGACACCCTGAGGTGCATTATTCACAAATTGAATTGAGTTATAAGCAAACACCCAAAAATGTAAGGAGTGAAACAACTTTCTTTAAATATCTACCAATGAATAATATGCATTCAAATGTTACATCTGGTTTTTTTTTCTTGAAGCTCTCATGCCAAAGAGTAGTAAAAAGTTTAAATTGTTCCATTAAACATATCAAAGGTATAAGATTGAAACATTGATGTCAGAAGTGTGACATGATTTGAAAGACATTTATTTTCAGTTAATAATTCATCAATACTTGATATATTGGTCACCTCATAATAAGTTCTATTGGTGTTTTGTTTGGTGACTGCACGCACATTACTATAATTTAGTGTCAATCAGTTTTAACGCATATGCTTATAAAAAAATGTGCTTTAAGTTACAAAAACAAAAAAACAAAGAATATTACTATAGATAGCTTCTAAAAGATTACAATTTGTAAGAGATGATTATTAATCTCTTCATACTACATATTTATTTTTAATTGAAATGATATTTTAAAAATTTTTTACTCAATATTACATTTAAAAGGTATGTGTCACACTCCTGACATAAACTTGAAACACCAGTTAGAAAATCAAAATTTTCTACATAAATCATGAAAAATATGAGGGTTAGCTCTGTCTGCTTTATTCTTAGTTTTATCACTTTGTTGTAACTTATAAAGCTTTCTTAGATGGTTATTCCGTTTTAATATATACTGCCTTGTAGGCTTCAAAATTTCAAAAATAGATTTTCTAATAGCTTGCAGTTTAACAACTTGTTTCTTCATTCTTCATGGTTTTCATTCATGCACCTCATAAAGAAATGGATTTGGTGATTTTTCCTCATCATTTCTTAGGTCATATAGGTTATGTCAGGAGCGTGACAAATTCAAACTGAATGAAATATACATTGAAAAACTAAAAAATATATCATATCTAAGATGAATAATTGTGTTGGAAGAAGAGATCTATGACTTATAATACAGTTTTAGTGTTTCTATAACCATTCAGTTTTTCTTTGATTATAAAACCATGAAATATTAGCATTGTGTAGTTTTATGAAATGTTAAATGCTTCCTATAAAAAAGTGTAAAACTTCTGACATTAATAACTCAATCTTTAGCCATGTTTGTGTTATAACACATAGAAATCATACTTTTTTCTTATCTTTGTCACAGAAAAACTTAGATTAAAAGGAACCGTTTTATATTATATTACAAATAGTTAATTGAAAGATATTAAGAATCAATTGCCATGAATGTCACACTTCTGATATTGCTGTAAATTTTTTTTTTATAAAATATAGAAAAATTAAAAGATTTTTCTATACAAAATGGTTATGTTTTGTCAAAGAATACATATGAAATGTATGAGGAATAGCAATATAACATGAATATTGTATTTTGACCTATTATACATACATGTCAGAAGTGATACAAAACAGTTGTTGTTTTCCATTCGTTTGATGTGTTTGAGCTTTTGATTTTGCCATTTGGGACTTTCCGTTTTGAATTTTCCTTGGAGTTCGTTATTTTTGTTATTTTACTTTTTACAAATCGAAAGGGTTTTATAAACGAAGTTTGCAAAAATTTCCTTGAAGTTGAACATAATATTATAGTATTTTTTTTGGCGTGTGATCATTTATACATACACATATTTTTTTGCATCTTTCTCCTTTGTATTGAATTTTTTGTATTATCAAACTAACTGTATGGGTTATGTTGTGAGATAAAATATGTTGCAGTTTACCAATGTTGTATGTTGATCATGAATGTTACACTCTTACCTCATTTTTTTTCTGATTCCACCAATAACCATTATGAGAAAAGCCTGACCTTGTGCAATTTCACAATATAAGTCGTAGGACCATGTGTTAATAACTCAATAGCAATATATTCATTTGTAAGCTTAAGAACGGAAGTTGGCAATTAGAAAACAAAAGCCATCCCTTTCAGCATATATCCTAATATCAAGTTGATAATCTGCATTCGTTAAGAAAAAAATCAAGTTATGAAGCAGAATGTCTAAATTGTAATTTACTTTATTGCATATTAAAATGCATTTATAAAATTTGTAATAGTAAAAGTTCAATGATAAGTATATATTGACATTAAAAGATCTCCGAACAAAAAGGGATGTTCAGATCCCCGAGCCCGAAGGGAGTAAATTCATATTTTTGAATCCAACTTTTCAAAATAACGATTTCTTATTTAATAAATGAGGCAATCAAAACCCTATACAGACCATATTTATAACTGACCAATGAATATTCTGCACAACAACGTCTTGTTATATATATTTGATGTTTTTAATTTGTCAGTAATCATGAAATAGATTCGTAAAGACTAGATCTTAGAAAACAGTAAGTAAATTCTTCCGACATTTAACTTTTTAAACTTCTTGTTTCAGAACTTCTAATCGAACAGACCTAGATGTATAAGGCCCTTCACAATATTCACCCGGTAAATGTTCATTTTGTTTTTGATTCTGTAATTTTCCAACACTACGTTACATGCAAATGCAAAATAATTAGTGTTGTCTGTTCAGTCCAATTAATTAATAGATCTTGCTTTTTTTTTTTTTAAATAAAGACTATGCATGCAAACTTCAATGAATAAAATCGTATTGAAAAACCTACTTGTAACATATTTAGCATCAACTAGGTTTCACTTTATTCTAGTCGTCCGTTATTCCCTTTTCTTGTCTAAATGAAGCAAAAACACCTAAAAGTTTTATCCTTGCCTGACAAAAAATCATATGTTATAAATCGTATTAAAACATTAGATAA